AGAGATTGAAACAAAAATATTTTTTGTTTCGAAGTTGAAATCAAGTTATATTCACTGCCAAAAGTCAGTTAAAAATTTTCTTTATTATTCGTTATTTCTCATTTTATTCAAAGATTTGTTCAAATTCCAAATTTTCTCTCAAACCGTATACTTTTTTTTATAGTATAGGTAGTATTTATTTACCGTATGATATGCTGCAAAACCTAATTAATCACGAATTTCTAATTTTATGTACTCTTGTCTCCGGTTGTACCTCCCAAATATCCTCAATATTTGGCGATATAATCACCATGACCATTGGTTGTTTTTCTTTTTTAATATATAGCGCTATTGTTGTTTATTTCTTTCAAAGAGGATGGAGGTTTCATAAAACTTGCATCTATCTTATTCCGACTTGGGCAAACATTTTAAAACCAATTTTGCCAGAGATATTGAAGGGGTGGACTTTTTTTACGAGCGCCTTCTGTTCACGCATGCAATACGTCTTTCTTACATTCAAATTTTTCAGTTTCAATAATTTAATATTTTTTATGTTTTCGGCATATTTTATGAAGGAAATAAAATTATGACTGCCTAACACTAGGAAAAAAACAAAAACAACATATTAACACGTAAATAGTGATGCATAATAGGAAAAATTGTGGAAAACATTATAAACTACGTAAATAAAAGAGGAAAAATATGAATTCCTGCTCAGAAAGGTAAAATATCTATAAATAAGTGAAAAGAAACCTAACCTAACCTTAACCTAACACAAACAGGGGGACGACCTACACGACATAACCTTACCTATCTATCTAACCCAGACTATGTTATATTGTGTTGTGTATGGTATAAGATGTATAATATACGGAAATAATAAGGAATAGAGGTTAGACGACCAAATGGCAAGGTATGGAGTATGTGATACAAAATCATACAGAGAAAGGAAGGTTTTCGTAATGTTTGTGGATTTAAAAATAGGTACGACCCGTTGACACATACAAGGAAGATAGGGAAGAGGCTACGAAAGCAAGAAAGTTAGGACAGAACGAAATGGATGAATGGGGAAATTTGGCTATGAATGCAGAAGAAATATATATGGTGATATTATAAGAGGGGAGAATCTAAACCAAATACAAAAATCAAGATATACAGTAGGAATAAAAGCATCATTATGAAAGATTCAGCAAGGGAATTTGACTATGGAATACTTTGCAGAAGGAACAGATACAGACATAACGGCAAGGAGCGAGTGGGAAATGAGAGCAAAGGGTGTAAATACTGAATGAAAATGGAGGGCGAAGGTGTAGAATTTGTGAAGGCCAAGATGAGTTGCTAATGCATGCTAAGGGTGTGTGGATGAATATGGAGGTTTAAAACGTTATAAAAGAGAAGGTGGAATTAAAGGTGGAAGTAAAGGAAGTATGAAATGTTAAACAGAAGGTACCTATATGGGGCTAAAATGGAGAAATAGGAAAAAAGATGCAGGTGATTACAAATGATAGAAGACTGACAGGGAAGGAGGTTTACATAAAAGATGATATATAACTGTGGAAGAGAGAAGAATACAGAATATGTTTGAACAAATCCTAAAGTGGTGGTCGTATGGATATGGGACGAGAAGAAAAAAGAAGAAATGTGGAAAAAAGAAGGATAACAGACATTTAGTAAAGAATAAGAAGAGGGTTATTCAAGGATTAGAAAGGTGGATGGAAATCGAAAGAAGATGAGTATAAGTACGTGGAATAAAGCATGAAGCGTTGGATATAAAATTTTGGAATAATATTTGACTGCTACTTATAGTCTGAAGGTTTTTTATTTGATTTTATGTTATTGGTGTATATATGATAGCTTAAGATTTACAATAAAGTTACTATTATTATTAATTATACTTCGTCCTACTCTTTGAATTATATTTATTTCTCGTAAAAAATGCTAAATTAATGAATATATAAAAAAAAGACAACTACAACCTTTTTTTTATCAGGGATAACTGCTATGTAGGTACTAGGGGCTTGGGTTAGGTTTTGCTATAAGTGTTGGTCATGATTAAAATGTAGGTGATGCGTAGCAACAACAGCGCCGCTCATCCGTCTAAATTTGAACGGGTTAGACTAGTAATTTCACATTATTTATGTTCCCAATTTTGATTTTGATTATTACTTTACCTTTATAAATGTTTTATTAGTGCTTAGCACCCTACGCTTTCCCTCGTATGTTCGTTTAATAACGCCCAGCACCTCCGCCATATTGTATTTATTTTCTCTATTTAATAACTATTTATATTAACAAAAAAACTCATACACGCCCTAAATATTTTGATAAAACAATTATTTTCATATTATTTTAGTTTATTTAGAGGTATTTGCGTCCCTGACGTAATAGGCAAATATCCTGAATAACTTAATTAAACATTTCTCATTAAAATCAAGAAGCTGTGGAATTTCTCTAAACTTAATTGTTACCAAAAAATACCGAGGCAAAAATGAGATGGGTAAAGTTGTTGAATGTAACAGAGCAAAAAATTCCTATAATCTCGGAAAACTCGGCCAAAATAACTGTCTTGAAGGAAGTTTCGAAATTTATCATGTAGTTAAGCTTGTTATAGTAAACTTCCGGACGACAGGATCGTACAAAAACTTTTTCGTACACAAAAAGGAGTCGTCGTGCTTAGTTAACTAAATTTACGGGTAACTTGACTAAGTATAACAAAGTTTTTCAAAAGATTTGTGCCAAAGAGCTGGTAATTTGTCAAATATCTTGCGTAGTTACTGAATCATTTTAGAGGTAAGCGTAATGGTGAATTCGGATGGCCCATTTTCTTTCTCACAATCTTTTACAATAAAAACAAGAAAAGACTTATACGAAATCCTATGACATTGTTAGTTACTTAATAGTGGATTAATATGTAATATTAATTTGAAATTATTTTCGATTTTTTATTTACCCACTACAAACTACCTCAAATTAATGAGGGAAAAATTGTTGCTGTTGTAACACCCCCGCCGGGAATCGAACCCGGGACCTTTGGCTTTACGCACCA